CAACTTGTCTAGTATAAGAAACTCAGAGGTATCAATTAACAAAATATGAGTTTTATCCATAGCAGTATCTCAATCTCAAAGTGTCAAGAAATTGTTCCCTCATCCCCTTTTAATTCCTGTGGGAGCTTCCAACAGGAAGTGGTAGATTTCACTACCGCCAACTTCTTATGCCACCTGATCTTTTTTTCCCCTTGGGCCAACTGTGACATGCAGTTTCCGACTTCTTAGTGTTTTTTCAACAATTATCTATACCCCTTTTCATTTTCAAGGTTTTTCTTGCTTTCTTAAAAGCACTAGTTACTACAGAAGAGACATGAATAAACCTTAGGGAAGTTGTAACAATTCAATAAGGGTGAATTGTCCAGCACTCTCTCTTTTCTGAGTCATTTTTGTATTTTTGAGATGGTTGGGCTTCCTCACTGCTCTACACAAATTGCAAATATCCTGTTGACTTTGATGGCACTGAGCAACAACACAGACAAACTGGGGCCATTTACACTTCAGAGGGATTTAAATGAACAAATACATACGAGACACAATGAAGGGAATATAAAATAAAAATGGTTCCTGTATTCCCTTTGGCTACATTCTAATTGGCACGGGGACAGGAGGAGTGGAGGGATACTGAGACACACACACAGAGCTATGATTTGGCTAAGACCGTGTGGATTTGCATAATACAGTATAAAGTATGATGATACAAGGCCAGGGGTAGTGGCTCAAGCCAGTAATCCCAGCACTTTGGGAGGCTGAGGCAGGCGATCATGAGGTCAGGAGTTTGAGACCAGCCTGGCCAACATGGTGAAATCCCGTCTCCACTAAATATACAAAAAATTAGCCAGGCATGGGGGTGTGTGCCTATAATCCTAGCTACTCGGGAGGCCGAGGCAGGAGAGTCGCTTGAACCCGGGAGGCAGAGATTGCACCAATGCACTTCATCCCAGGCGACAATGTGAGACTCAGTCTCAAAAAAAACAAAAACAAAAACAAAAACAAAGTATGGTGATACAACATGCAAGGGAGAAATTACATGTAACTTTGCAAGTCTGGAAGTGGAATGTGAGTTAAGTTTTGCATTCTATTGAAACATCTTAGTTCAGGGAGAAAGAGATAAAGAAACAAAGGCCAAGAGTAAATAATTTGCCTTAGTTATTAGAAGATAAAACTAAAAAATACATTTCATTAAAAGTAGTGTACTTTCCACTAAATTATACATCATGAGTATGAATTCAATAGGCAGAGTTTGAGAGAGAAAGGCTGCATATGATGGCTGTCTTTGGGAATATTTGGTGGAATGGTGTGGCTGTGGCTGATAACCCAATAGTTTTATTTGATGGCTTACTGTGTTGTAAGTTAGGATGTTCCATCCTGTGGGGGTCACATTCACAAAAAAATGGATAAGTTGATTCCTGCCTCAAAAGGTTTCAGTCTGGCCGGGCGCGGTGGCTCACGCCTGTAATCCCAGCACTTTGGGAGGCTGAGGCGGGTGGATCATGAGGTCAAGAGATCAAGACCATCCTGGCCAACATGGTGAAACCCCGTCCCTACTAAAAATACAAAAATTAGCTGGGCGTGGTGACATGCACCTGTAATCCCAGCTACTTGGGAGGCTGAGGCAGGAGATTCACTTGAACCTGGGAGGTGGAGGTTGCAGTGAGCCGAGATGGCGCCATTGCACTCCAGCCTAGAAAAAAAAAAAAAAAAAAAGTTTCAGTCTAACATTTACTTACTAGCTAGAGTTGCACAGCTACCACAAATTTTTGAATCATATCTAAGGCAAAGTCCAAGCATGTGCATTTTTTAACCTCTCCTCCTTCCAACAATTTTCATCTACACACCTCCAGTTGGGATCACTGATAACAGAGCTCTATGAAGCTTACTGAAGCTGATAATAGTTTCCAAACAGATTTCATACTTCCAGGTTTTCAGACCTTTGCTTGTGGGTTCTCTAATTAATTAATCAAACATTTCACTTATACATCAAGTATTGTATTACTCTGTATATATATCACTAGAGATAAAACAGTCAACAGGAAAGACAGGGTACTTCCCTTTGGGGGTGGGTAGGAGAATGCCAAAGAACAAGAAATTATTAAAGAAAACTATGGAAAGTATCTCAGAAAATAAATACTGATCACCATTGGAGCACATAGAAAGACACTTAATCCAAACCTGGGGTATAGCAAAGCTTTGTTGGAGGAAGTGATTTCTCTGCTAAGAACAGAAAGAGAGTAAGTAGAAGATAGCCATATTTTTTTGTTGTAGGGTAGGAGAAAGGGAGCAGAGAATGAGAAGCTGGGAAGCGGCTTCTAGGTAATGAAAACACCATGTTCAAAGATCTGGTGAGGGAGAATACAGTATGTGAAATAAGCTAAACAAGTGATGCCAATTCTCCACTTGTACCTTTCTGCTCTCCTAATAGACGTAAATGTTGGGGAATAAGCCTGGACAGACAAACAAGTGCCTCCTTAAGGAACTTTGAGGAAGACAGACTTCACCTTAAAAGCAATAAGCAGCCACTGAAGAGTTTTAATCATGACAGATTTAAGTTTTAGGCAGATTACTTGACGCACTGTAGAGATTGGAAATGAAATGATGAGATGGGAGACCAGTTAAGGAAGCTGTTGTAATTCTAGGCAAAGATAGTGGCCTGAACGTAAGTATTAACTGTGGAAACAGAATTATTAAGTGGACTGGCTTAGAGATTTTTAAGGCTTCAATGACTAATTGAATTTAGAGAGTGAAAGGAAAGAGGATTTAAAATGACTTTTTTTTTTTGAGATGGAGTCCCGCTCTGTTACCCAGACTGGAGTGCAATAGTGCGATCTCGGCTCACTATAACCTCCGCCTCCTGGGTTCAAGTGATTCTCCTGCCTCAGCCTCCTGAGTAGGCATGTGCCACCACGCCCAGCTATTTTTATATTTTTACTAGAGACGGGGTTTCACTGTGTTGGTCAGACTAGTCTTGAACTCCTGACCTCAGGTGATTTGCCCACCTCAGCCTCCCAAAGTGCTAGGAATACAGGTATGAGCCACTGCACCTGGCCAAAAATGACTAATTTTTGGCTTGGGCAATTGGGAAGCCGACAAAGGCAAAGCCAATCATTTAGATTCTGAATACAGCCAGGGATAATTCAAAGGGTGAACCAAGAGGCTGTTATTTTTGAGGAGAGAGATATTTATGGCCTGAATGATTAACAACTGGATGGATTTGAGATATTTAGGAATTAAAATCAGTAAGTTTCAGTAATTCCCTGGATATGAGATATGTAAGGAAAGGAGTCAAATATGACACCCAAATTTCTGGCTTGGATTCTGTGAACAGTCACTGTGGTACACTGTTTAATTAACTCTTATCATTATTACACATGGAATTAGTTAATTCCATAAATTCCTCCTCTCCTGGTATGCACACTTTGCAAAGTGACTCTGTCATTCCTTCCATGTAGAGATGGAATCTATTTCCCCATCCCTGAAATGTGAACTAGTCTTGTGACTTGCTTTGACAAATATGTGATGGAATATATGTGATTTCCAAGGCAAGGCCTTAGGAGGCACTGTAGCTTTTACCCTTTTGGAGTGCTGCCCTGAGAGTGCCATGAAAAGAAGTTGGTCTGGCCGACTGGAGGATGAGAGGTCACATGGAAGAGAACCAAGTCCTGGAGCTGACAGCACCAACTATGAAAAGTGGTAACCCTGGGACCTTTCAGTTTAGTTGACCTCCTAGGTCAATAAAAAGCATCAATGAGGCCAGGGGAAAACCAACATAGGTGGAGTAGTTCTACTTCACTGACCCAGAATTATGAGAAATCGTGGCTGTTTTAAGCTACCAGGTTTACAGTGTGGTAACACAGCTATAAGACAACTGACAAAGACAGAGGGAGATCAAAAAAAGACAATCTGAAATGTTATTCTCAAATGACCTAAAGATACGCAAAAACTCTTAAACAGTAGAAAGTTTAGGGAGAGGTAGGTGATCCAATAATTCCTAGCACCAAATGCCTGAATAACAAGAGCAATGGAATGTTAATTAGAGAAGTTAAGAATCTACCTTTTGGATAAAGTAGCCAAAGCAAACAGGCAGGATGCTTTCAAGCTCTTTGAGAAAGGAAAGCAGAGGTGTTCACGGAGGACTCCGGGGTAGTCCCTCACACCCTCAACCTTGGATAAGTAAATTAAACCAGCTCTCCTTATTAGAGACTGCCTGAAGAATTAAGCTAGGATAAAAAACGTAAAAGCTTTCAGCACTATGCCTAAAATTTTATTATTCACACAGCAAAACATGGATATGAGAAAAAATAAGTTAAAAGTACACCTTTCCCATTCAAAGGTATTCTGCCTTTCTCTATTCTGCCAATAGAGAAATATGAAATAAAAAACAATGCCTTAAAGACAACGAACATCATTAAAAAATTAACTTCAAAAATAAATTATACTTTGGTATAGATAGCTCCTTTTACTCCAACAACATTGTTTAAAAACACAAATCGCACTCAAGCGCAGCCAGCCATATGTGAATAGCAGAGGACAACGGAGGTTAAGAGGCTAACAGAAGTGGTGAAAATGAGAGAGCGCGCGCGAGAGAAAGGTAAACAGAAACTGTTTTCCTGGACCAAAGACTTGAAGACTTGCCTCTAAGATTTGGAAGTCTCGTCATGAGCTCTTGCATTTCTGCCCGTTTAAAAACAACCTTCACTTCTTGCCAAGCTTTATTATTTCCCCCTCCCACCTGGTGTGATTTACAGATTGTTTTTAGCTAGAGCCGTATAAGAGAAGCTAAGTACCCAAGACAATCTGAAGTCAGGAGAAAACTGCTGCCAGAAACCCAAGGCGGGGAAGGACAAGGATCAACCGAGAAATTAAGCCACGTTGCATTCTGGCCGCAGCAGTCATTAAGGAGTCCTCCCCGCCCTTTTCAACCAGGACTGAATGTTGCGTCTTCCTCAGCTGCAATCTCTCCTACTCTCCCTGTGGCAGCTGCGAAGGTGATCTACACTCACCGCTTGAAGCACAGTCGCCAACAACAACCGTAGCCCAAACGTCGGCACCAGCCACCCACTCAGCCCAGCCGCCATCGCTACCATTTTCCGCAGGTTTCTGGCTGCCTAGAAGGACCCCTTAGCTAGGGCCGTCCACTCCAGAGCCTGATCCAAAATAGAACGCTAACGGCCGTTGCCCTTACATCTCTTATTTGGAAGTGACAGGTATTAAATAACGGCATATGAGAGCTTAAAAGTCATCAAATACAAAGACAGTCACTGGGTGCTTTCGATTACCCAAATCAGGCACTTTCCTAAACTCCCCACTTCTTTGCTTCTACGGTCTCCTTTCTTTCATTCACGACACTTCGTCAAGCAGCCAAGAAGCCACGCCTTAGCCAGTTTTAGCCCTGCCTTCTTCTCCAAGTTTACCCAATTGAACGTCGTCTTGATTGAGCTCTGTGGCAGAGGAAACCAACCGTAAACCGAACCAAGAGCGAAGCGCAGGGGCTCTTTGGTCCAATAATTGGACCCGAACGGGAGGAGGGGCGGGGCTTCTGGTTGCCGAGCAGCGTACGCGGATGCGTGCGCGTGGTGGCGGAGGGGGATGGGCGGGGGCGGGGCTGAGGGCGGCGCAGCCGCAGCGCTAGTGGAGGGGCGCGCGGCCGCGAGCAAAGGAGGGAGGGAAAGAAGGAAGAGAGGAAGGCGGGCAGGCAGGCGGGCGCGGGGGTCGGGGACTGAGGCAGTAGAAGGAGGCGAGAGCCCGGCAGCCGCTTCGCGCTGTTTGCTGCGCGGGCTTTTGGAGGGGGCGGCCGTTGAGTCGGCTGAGGAGCCCGGACACCGGCGGCGTTGGTGCTAGCGCCTGGGGGAGGGGGACTAGAGAGGCGAGAAGGGGGGTCGCTGCGGTGGTTCTCTCGCTGTCGCGCTCTCTTTGCCTCGCTCCCGGCTCGGCGGGCTCCTCCCGGCGTCTCTCTCGCCTCCGGGGCCCCGCTCCCCGCCCCCCGCGGTATGTCTTGATCCCAAGCAGCGGGTTTCATGGGGCTCCTCAGGATTATGATGCCGCCCAAGTTGCAGCTGCTGGCGGTGGTGGCCTTCGCGGTGGCGATGCTCTTCTTGGAAAACCAGATCCAGAAACTGGAGGAGTCCCGCTCGAAGCTAGGTGAGGAACTGAACTGCCCCGGGCTGAGTGCTGTGGAAGGGGCCGAGGAGGCACTGCCGCCGGAGCAAGTGGGCGTTTGTCTAACCTGGGGTCTGGCTTGGGGGCTGAAAGAGGTTTTAAAGAGAACCGGGAACTAGGGGCAGCGAGGGCACGAGCTCCAAGAATGGGTTGAATTAAGCTTGAGTGGCGTGCTGGGCTCGCGAGGTCACGGGGCAGAGGTTGCAAGGTTGGGCTTCCCGAGCCAAAGGGGTGCCCCGAAGTAGGCATTCCACGGAGAGAGAGTGAGAGAGAAGACCGAACTCAATGGGGAGCGGGTGTTGCTGGTGGAGACAGAAGCGCTCAGCATCGCGTGTTCTCTTGGAAGTCGTACAGAAAGCCCTGGCAATGTCAGACGAGGGGTATTCTAATTTGAGCTATGGGCATCTGGATACGAATTCTTCTGGGAGTTCATGAAGGGATAGGTGCGCAGAAATGGAAGGAGATGCTGGGACGATGGAGAGTAAAATAAATACACTGTAGCGAGTTGCACTCTTGTGCTAGGGGCAGCAAGGGACCTTATAATTGCCAGTTGAGGGGGGCTGGCCGGGTAGTGCAGGAACGCGAGTGAAAAGCTTCATCGGAGTACGGAAATGAGGGTCCGGAGATTTAAAGTCTTCAGTGGCGCTAAACTGATGAATTGGGGCTTGAGAATAGGGATGCCTATGTATGTTGCTTCGCGGCAGTGTTGATGTGAATTTCGAAGAGGAGGGAACGCTGAAGGGGAATTATGTAGTGAAGTTTGTTAAAGGAAAAGTAGGATTATGCGGAAAGTTAACCATGTGATTAAATACCTTAAAGGGTTAACAGGTGCTTTCATGGGTGAAGGGTTCTGAAGTACAAAAAGTTGGTGCGAAGTTGTGAAAGGCCAGAAAAAAAGCACAGAGAATAGGTACTTTCGGATTAATAGGGAACTTTGGCATTTGGAAGAGCTCAGCATGGAGAGCGAGAGTTAAAAGAATTGACAGTGATACATTTTGATTTAAAAATGTGCATGGCACTTAAAAATCAACTCAAGAGGATGTAATTTGAATATGGAAAAGTAATGTGAAGTGTTTTTTGCATACTTTCACCTCAAAATCATTTTGAATACCTTTGAGAAGCCAGCAAAACAAAAGAAAACAAAACAAAAAAACCCCAGCAGTATAATTTAGACTAAGAAATAGATGTTACTGTGAATGGATGATTAATTTTTAGGAAAAATGTACCAGAAAATAATTGTGATATACGTACAGCAGCTATTTTGGTACAAGGCTTTGCAAAAGCCTTGACATTTTAAAGAGCCTTGAAAGAAAAACCATCAAGTAAATCTGAATGAAGTGCAACTAAAGTTGGAGAAAAACTAAAGATACTCCCAGTCCTCAACTCTAGAGTAAAATTCGAAGAGATACGCAGTTTATTTACCAGTTCTTTTATTAATATGTATCTTGTATGATGGAAAAAAATGTCCACTTTAAATATTGAAGGTTATCCAGTACGGTTTTTCTTTTCTTTTGTATCCATTTAGCGACATTCAGGGTCATTATTGATCATTATTCTGGTCATTGATCATTATTGGTCATTATTCTGGCGTCATTAATGATCCAGCTCTACAGAAAAAAGAAAAGACTCCTCTTTGGAATTCTCTGGAGTTGATTTCTTAGACACATTACAGTGGGTTAGAATGACTTAAGTTTTTGGTTTTCCTCCTTGGCTAACATTTTTTTCCCCATATACTTGAAAATTGCTTCCATAGACACAATCTGAATAATTTTTAAAAGAAAATTCTCTGAAGATGTATAATGCTACAGTTAAAATATAAAGTGCTTTCTTGTGATACAAGAAAGAAAATTTCATAAAAAATAGTAAATATGCATCAAAATCCTCCTGGGACTACAGGTAAGTCTACCTGGGACTACAGGTGGGTGTTACCATGCCTAGTAGAGGAAACCATATTTTGACAACCAGATTCTGTACTAGGCACTTTTCATCTTAGATACTCGTGTTTAAAGTAAGAACACCATTTAAAGCCATTTTTGGCCAGACGCAGTGGCTGACGCGTGTAATTCCAGCACTTTGGGAGGCCGAGGCCAGCGGATCATTTGAGGTCAGGAGTTCGAGACCAGCCTCGCCAACATGGTGAAACCCTATCTCTACTAAAAATACAAAAATTAGTCGGGCGTGGTGGCGGGCGCCTGTAATCCCAGCTACTCAGGAGGCTAAGGTATGAGAACCGCTTGGACCTGGGAGGCAGAGATTGCAGTGAGCCTAGATCGCACCACTGCGCTCCAGCCTGGGCAAAGAGCGAGCCTCAGTCTCAAATAAAACCAAAAAACAACAGAAAGACATTTTTGCAGGTGCAGAAACAGGCTTAGAGGTTATATAACTTGCCCAAGACCACATCACATTTAAGTGGCAGAGCCAGGATTGCAACCCAGTTATGTCTGATTCCCAATCAATTGCTCCTTTAATTATGTCCGGTTGCTTAAGACTTTATATTGACATTACGCCAAGATTTAGCTATTTGAATAGAGTTTTAAAATTGTAATATCAATGTTTAATTGCATTTATTGCTAAGAATGAATATCATTCAGAGAAAATTGAATTTCTGACACAAAGGAATTGGTTTAGTGTAACGTCTGCCCCTTGTTTATATTCATGTAATGAACATAATTATGTTACCCAATGAAACAACTGAAATAGATAGCTTATTTTTACTATAGGAAAAAGAAATCTAGCTGTTTTCCATACGTGCAAAATCACAATGTTAAAAAGCATTTTTATTTTGGCATTAAAAAAACCCTATTAAACATTTTGTCCTTAAAAGTAGTTATTATCATTTTCATTGTAGAAGATTCCAAAGCATAGTATTGTCTGATAGTGGCTTTAATATTCCTTGATTTGAGAGTATAGTATTTTGATGGTGAGACCTCTAATAGAGCAATAGATGTATTCAAAACTGAGGTATACTCATTGACTACTTGGGAAATTCACTAATTAGGAATTCCTGAAAAAAAATTCAGTAATATAGTTTTTTTATTTTTATTTTTTAAAAAACAAATGTGGCATTGTGGTGCACATATTACAATGAAGCTTGCTCTTTTTGCCTTGAATGTCATAGACATCTTTCCAGGTCAGTACATGTAGATGTGACTTACTCATTCTATTAGTAATAGCTGTATAATTCTCCAAAGTATGCATGTATCATATATTATTAAGCCATTATTCTAGTAACGGACATTCAGTTTGTCCCCCATCTGTCGTGTGTGTGTGTGTGTGTATGTGTGTGTGTATATATACACACACATATATATACACATATATAATTTTTTGACTTTTTTTTCTTAGTATTATAAACAGTTACAGGAAACATCCTTATATATCTGTTTAACTCATGTTGATGTCATTTTGTGCTAGGATGAATTCTGTATGTGAGATTGCTGGGACAAAGGATATACATATTTCATAATTTAATAGATTTAAAAATCTACTTTTCAACATTTTTTTTTTGTTTTTCAGAAGATATAGTAATCTACACTGCCAGCACATGTTCATTGCACTAGAAGATAATCAGCTTCTAATTTTTGCCAGTGTGAGGCTATGAAATGATATACTGAATTAATTTACCTTCTGATTTCTAGTTAGGTTGAACATCTTTACATATGTTTATTGCCCATTTATTTGTTAATTTTCATTTGTCTATTTTTCTATTGGGTGGTTTACTTATTTTTTTAAATGTTAGAATTAGTAATCCTTTATCTGTCATAAGTTCTGCTTTTTTTTTGTTTTTTGAGATGAGCCTTGCTCTGTCACCCAGTCTGGAGTGCAGTGGTGCGATTTCAGCTCACTCCTGTCTCAGCCTCCCAGGTAGCTGGGATTACGTTACGTTGCCACCACGCCCAGGCTAATTTTTGTATTTTTAGTAGAGACAGGGTTTCACCATGTTGGCCAGGCTGGTCTTGAACTCCTGACCTCAAGTGATCTGCCCCCCTCTGCCTTCCAAAGTGCTGCGATTACAGGTGTGAGCCACTGCACTCGGCCTCTTGCATTTGTTTTTGTCCAAGTTTGCCATTTGTTTTTTGACTTTATGGTGTGTTTTGCTCATATAGAAGTTTTAAAATATACACAGTTAAATCTATCAATTTAGGTAAGTCGTTTTCATATGTTGCT